AGGGCCACGTCCATGTCCTTGCAGGGGCTGGGCAGCGGGCCTGTCCCCGCAGTGACTCATGCAGCCCGGGTTCAGCCAGACCTGCTCAGCCAGCACTCAATCCGCATCACCCGGGGGTGGTCATAGCACAAACGTGCTTGGCCTGGCTGACCCTCGGAGCACAATTTAAAAATAGTCACGTCCAGCCCACGGCGTCTGGTGTCCTGGAATGGGGATCCGGAGTGGGACGGAGAGCAAGATAAGTTTGAAGCAGTGTTCCTCCATTTCTGTCCGTGTGAGTTTTGACACCATTTTGTCTGAGACGTTGCTTTTCCAGGGAGTGTCTCAAGGCCTCTGATCCTCCTATCCCCAGGCTCCTGCCCCTCGAGGAGGCGCTCAGTGGGTCTTTATTGTAAGCAAAGGTGCTGACATAGCTCACATTTCCCAGGACGGGCTGGTGCTCCACTCAGCCAGCGACCCTGCCCCTCCCTCACACTTTACCACACGGTGTAGTCCTTCAACCACACCCACCTCCATCCACAGACTGAATTGTGTCTTCTCAGTATTACACATAGAAGCTCTAACAACCAGTACCACAGGATACGGTCATCTTCAGAGATGAGGTCTCTAAAGAAAGCGATTCATTTGGAATGAAGAGAGGGTAGAGAATGGGCTTTCAGTGAGGAGACCGCTGTGCTCGCTTTTCTGAGTGTCTCAGCTGGGATTTGTTCGGGGAGGACTCTGGGACGGGGAGGACTCTGGGATGGGGAGGACTCTGGGACGAGGAGGACTCTGGGATGGGGAGGACTCTGGGACGGGGAGGACGACTCTGGGATGGGGAGGACTCTGGGACGGGGAGGACTCTGGGACGGGGAGGACTCTGGGATGGGGAGGACTCTGGGATGAGGAGGACTCTGGGACGGGGAGGACTCTGGGATGAGGAGGACTCTGGGACGGGGAGGACTCTGGGACGGGGAGGACTCTGGGATGAGGAGGACTCTGGGATGAGGAGGACTCTGGGATGGGGAGGACTCTGGGATGGGGAGGACTCTGGGATGAGGAGGACTCTGGGATTGGGAGGACTCTGGGATGAGGAGGACTCTGGGATGTCTCTTTCTCACTATGGAACAGGGTCTCGCTGTGTGGCTCAGGCTGGCCACAAACTTGCCACCCTCTTGTCTCAGCCCCCTAAGTGATGAGCAAGTTTGGATCGCAAGCGCGTGTCCCACGATCCTGCCTTTGATGATAAATCCAGTCATTTCCTTCCCTGTGTCCTCTGTGGACAGCATATGTCTGTTCACCTTTTAAATATTCGAGCATTTGCTGGGCATTGTGGCTCACACCTGTAATCCTAGCTCTCAGGAGGCTGAGAACTGAAGATGGAGGTTCACAGCGTGGGCAGGAAAGTCCATGAGATGCTTATCTCCAGCTAACCATTAAAAAGCAGACGTGGAACTGTGGCTCAAGGGCAAAAAAGCTAAGGGTCAGCTCCCAAGTCCTGAGTTCAAGCCCCAACACTGACACGTGCATGTGCATGCGTGCATTCACACACGCACACACACATGGTTTTTTGGAGATCTTACAAATTCTGCACTTTCAGTTTTTCTTTCCTCAACTTAAGTATATTAATCCATCTATTCTCCAAACTATTTTTTCTTTTTGGTCAGTTGTGGGTCTTGAACTCTGGGCCTGGGTGCTGTCCCTCAGCTCTTCAGCTCAATGCTAGCGCTCTACCACTTGAGCCACAGCGCCACTTCTGGTTTTCTGGTAGTTAATTGGAGATAAGAGCATCATGGACTTTCCCACCCGGGCTGGCTTTGAACCTCAGATCTCAGCCTCCTGAGTAGCTAGGATTACAGGCGTGAGCCACCGGCACCAGCTTATTCTCCAAATTTTTAAACCAGTTCATATACTGGCAGGACACACACAGGTATGCATACATGCATACACACATACATGTACACACACATGCAAGAACACACTCTTCATCAGGAGGCCAGCCTTCACCAAAGGCTGTTAAATGTAAAAGAATCTCTCAGCTGGGCACTGGTGGCTCATGCCTGTTAATCTTAGTTGCTCAGAAGGCTGAGCTCTGAGGACCGCAGTTCAAAGCCAGTCTGTACAGTGAAGACCATGAGACTCTTATTTCCAACTAACCAGGGTTCATAGAGCTGAGGCTCAAAGTGGTAAAGCACTAGCCTTGAGCAAGAAAAGCTCAGGGGCAGCGCCTAAGCGCTGAGTTCAAGTCCTGCGACTGGCAAAAATAAAATAATCTTTCTGTGCTTACCTCTCACAAAGCACAGATGACGCCGGTCAGGTCACTGTGCAAAACATTGAGTCTTCAGCGTGTTTCCTTCAGTGGACAGAAAGTGAGGGGAGGGTGTGTGCTGGGTGGGGCGTGTCCATCTCCAAGGCTGAGAAGTTGAGTGAGTTGATCATCTTGCCACTTGCACTGCTTGGAAACACAAACAACTGAAATAGATCAGCCCTACTGATATGGGCTGCGTTTCTACCAGGAAACGCCAACATTCTCCTAATCCAACATCAAGACATAAACACAACAGGCCTTGTTTTCCACACAGATTACTATTGCTTTCACACCCAAACATATGCTGAGAGCTTGCAGCCACACTGCCTCCATCTCTGGAGGTGTCTTGAAACATTTTTAGCTTACCAAACAGAAGCCAGAGGAGAATCTGTGCCTTTACTCAAAAATAGTCACCTTCAACTGCTTGGTTTATGCTGCGGATGAAAACCTATCGATTCCAACAGACCATGTTTCCTTCTAACATTAACATCTGTGCTCCACTGTTGAGGTGTTAAGGAGAAAGAATGTTCCAGGAAATCCCACATTGCTTCCCAACCTTCCACCCCAGGGTTTATTTAAATTAGAAGATGATAGAATGGTACCCATGCCAGAGGAAAACACCAGAACTGGTAATGCAAAGGACCAACCAACTCCCAGCGAAGACCTAGAACACATGCTGAGGAAAAGTCTAGAGCCATCACTAACCACGGAAGGCCATTTAACTGAACTTAAATAACAAGAGACATTCTGCTGTCCAACCGCCCGGGCCTCGTGTTAAGAGCTCCGGAGTCCCACGAGCCTGCGACCAGGGGCACCTGGCACAGAAGGAAGTTCCATCTCTGCACAAAATTCTCCTGGACAGCACCCATCCAGGGGTTCTGTGTGACATTGGGGTTAGCACTGGATTAGCACAGGGCGAACTGCGCAGGTCCAAATGCTACAGTCTGCACATACACTAGGAAGAACCTGGTGGGAAGGGGAAAAAACTCGAGTCTGAGAATGTGTGACTGTGATCTGGCGCTGCTGCTTGCATGATAAGAAATAGACAAGCAGAGAAATGTCAGCTCAGAGCAGGAAGGAGTTAGTAAACACAACTGCTTGAATACCTCACCATCTGCGTCTAAACATCAGTACCAAGTGCCAGCCACTGGCCAGGCACCTTGATGTACGTGTGGGCATGTCACCGGGAAACCCCTCCTTCCTTGTATGGCTAATATAAGCTAATAAAATGCAGAACAGTGATGTGCCCGAATCTTTTCCTCTGTTCGTGGTTTTACTGCTCCTCTGTTTTGCATGCTAAGATTTCTGAACATTTATTTAGAGTAATAAAACCCCAATCAAGACAGAAAAATGCAGACTCTTCCCATTTTACAAAAAAAGGCAAGAACTTTATTTTAAACAAATCCTCCATTGTATATTACACCGTGTCCATCACTAACCCAAAAATGATCATGAGAATTGAAAGGAAATGGAGGGTTTCATAAAATCATATTACCCAAATATTCTTCTTGGCCAATGCTTTCACTGTATACACAGTGGGTGTGAGCGGTACAGTATGGCACTTAAATCAATAAGAGCAAAGAGCGGGAGAGAACAACAGGTTTTGAACCTTTGGTATATGTCACAAATGAGAATTCGTAAACACATGTTAGCCAATAGTGTTTAGTTGGTGAAGCCAGTGCTGTACATGATTGTTTTTTCAAAAGTAACTGATAAAAGTAATGCGTTAGGATTGACATGGGCTGATTAAGGTCTCTGGTGTGAGCACACAGGTAAATCCGAACCATGGCAAACATGACGTGCGGCTGTGTTGCACAACACAACTCTAGAAGAAAAGGAGTAAGAGACATGAGCTAGAGATTCTGTGACCTGGGTAGACACTCTCAATATTAACAACAAAAGAAATGTCTTCCATACGATCCAAAGTCTACAAGTGAGAAGGCAGAAGCATCCCAAAGCCCATAAACACGTGCCCGAGCGTGCCACGACCATGAAGGTGAGAGTTGTGGTTGCATACTACGATTCCCTCCCGCCCTCCCGGCCCCCACCCTAATAAAGAGCACCAGTGCAGGTTCAATTAGAAAATGGAAATGTGGAGACATTCCTAAGGTTTTCGTAATGACCAAGTGCCTGTCAGATGGGGCTCTCTCCGATGCAAACCTCCGCCAGGGCCAAGTCTTTGTTTTTGTACCCCACAGTCGTTACCTCTAGCCTGCAGATCAACCGTACGGTAAGGCCAGATTCAGAACAAAAAGCTGGCATGCTATCTGGGGTTGAGGAAGAGGGGCATGCGGATGGGGAGGGGTGGTGGGGAGGGGGAAGGGGTTACACCAAGGACCCTCCAAGATGTTTGTCGTGCAGCATTCGAGGATCCAGGGTAGGTCAAAACATCTCTATGGATGAAGGGCTGGACTCCACACCACTCGACAGAGCCCGGGGCTCCATGGCCCGAATCCAGCCTAGTAGTGAGCAGCCCCCCGGCTGGCCCCGGGGTGAGGAAGAACCTGCCCAGAAGAGGACCCGGGGTCCAGCGCCTGTCCCATCTCTCCAGCGGTGCCACACACGCTGCCCATCCTGATGTCCCCCTTCTTGCTTCCGTCCATCCAAGGTCTTCTCCCAGCCCGTCGGTTCTTCTCCCTTGGGGCCTGGCTGGGGAAGAGTCCCATGAGGACAATGGGATTGGGGGCTGCCATCACCCCCCCAAACCTGCCCTCTACACGTAGGCCGAGTCACTGGACTGAGTCCTGCCGAAGTTGGGGACGCTGACCCGGGGCAGGTCCTTGTTGCGGATCTCGTAGACTGACTTTCTCTTGGCCTGGGCGCCGCGCACGGCCAGCTTGATCTTGCGCCAGCCCAGGTGGTTGAGTTCGGCCAGGTTGAGCACGACGCAGATGCCGCTGACGGCGAACATGAAGACCAGGAAGACGGTCTTCTCGGTGGGGCGCGACACATAGCACTCCACCTCCTTGATGCAGGGGTAGCGGCTGCACTCGTACAGGCCGGGCACGCTGAAGCCGTACAGGAAGTACTGGCCCACCAGGAAGCCGATCTCCAGCGCGTTGCGGAACACCACCTGGATGATGTAGAAGCGGGAGATGCCCTCCTGGCGCCGCAGCTTGGAGCGTGCGGCCGTGCGCAGCCCGGACGGGTGCGGGCTCAGCTCCTTCACCTCCAGGCAGTCGGGCTCTCCCTCCTTGCCCACCGGCTCTGTGTTCTGCAGCACCCCGTTGACGATGGCGTTCTGTAGCTTCTTGTCTTCCCGCTTGCCAGCCCCGCCGCCCCCGGGGCCTGTGCCCCCTGGGCCCCCCATAGCCTCCGGCGGGTCCCTGTCCAAGGCCAGGAAGACGGTGGAGTATCGGCGCTCACGCTGCTTGGCCGACTGGTGCACGGAGTAGGTGATGAAGCAGAGGCTGGGCGTGCACACCATGATGATCTGGAACACCCAGTAGCGGATGTGAGAGATGGGGAAGGCGCGATCGTAGCAGGCCTGGTTGCAGCCCGGCTGCAGGGTGTTGCACACGAACATGGTCTGCTCGTCATCATACACCGTCTCCCCCACGATGGCCACGATGAGGATCCGGAAGATCACCACCACGGTCAGCAGGATCCTGCGCATGGGGTGGGGTGGGGGACAGGGGCATGCTCAGGGGCTGCGGCCAGCCCTGCCCTGTCTCTGGAGGGGACCCCAGCCTGCCCTGCCCTGCCTCCAGAGAGGACCCCAGCCTGCCCTGCCCTGTCTCTGGAGGTGACCCCAGCCTGCCCTGCCCTGCCTCCAGAGAGGACCCCAGCCTGCCCTGCTCTGTCTCCGGAGGGAACCCCGGGCCCTGCGCTGCTCCTGGATGGACCCGGCCGCCTTGCTCTGCTTAGGCTGTCACTGGGAGCTGTCCGCCCTGCGTGGTGCTGAACCCGGGCGTCACATCTGTCTCTTCCCGTCCTCCCCGGCGCCCTGCAGCGCTCCTATTCCAAGCACCCCAGCGGATGCGTCTCCGTGCGCCCGTGGGCTCTCCGCCACGCACGGGGCTCCCGACTACGCGATGGACAGCCCCGGGTCACAGCCCGGCGGGGCACACCCGGCCCTGCG